TTGATAAAAGTCTATTTTGATAAGAGATTTTTCACCACCATGTCCTAGATTGTTAGCTAGGTTATTCAGAGCATTAGTAACAGCAGTTAAAGCAGCGTTGGGATTGTTGTTTATTTGGTTGGTTGTGCTGGTTGTTGGTTGTTAACTTGTTCTGGTTCTTGGTTTGGTTTCTGGTTATCAATAAGTACAGGATTAAGTTCGGCTTCAGATTCAGATTCTTGGTCAACAGTAGCTTCAGATTCTTCGTCGGACTGTTGGTTATCTCTGGGTAGAGGGGGTAAGTCAAGATGTTCGTCCCAGTTAATTTCTTGATGAGGAGCTTCTGTTGTTAGAAGAGCGACTGATTTTGGTGCAGGAGGATTTATAACAGGAGGAGGTGGAGTATTCAATGGGGTGGTAGATCAAATATCAATGGCTATATTTGCTTCAGGATAGGTTCCAAGTACAACAGGGGGTTGAACTAGATTAGAAGAAGAATTGTAAGAGCTTATGCGATTAAATATTCGTCAGATTACACCGGGTTGTTGAAAAGTAGAAGGAGTTGGACTAGATTGTCGTCTAAGTGGAGGATCATCTAATGAGATTTCTGTTAGTGGAGAAGAAGGTAAGGCAATTCGAGGAGGAAATTCAATATGAGTAGTATCTTTGTTGTATGGAGCTAGGTGAGGAGAGTTAGGGTTGTCTAAATCTTTGGGTCCAAGAGTATATATAGATTGTATAGGAGGAGTGGCAAAGTTAGGGTTCTTCTAGTATGTAAGAATAGGATGGAGATTTCAAAAGTATGAGTGGTAGTGGGAGGATTCCAGGAGAATGAGGCAATAGTAGGGTTTTCAATATATAGGTCAAGTGCGTTTGCTTCAAAATCGATCAGTAAAGTCGATTGGAGAGTGAAGATTGTATGAGATTCGAGGAGGACAGCAATAACCGCTTTAGGATCTAAATTTGGATTACTATATCGGCAGCTAAAAACAATATCTCTAGCAGCTGCTTTGGCAATGTTATATTCTCTGGCAGTAATTAGTTTAAAATATGCGTCAACAGTTTGTTGAGTATATCTAGTAACTTTATATTGGTCTCGATATACAGTATATACCAAAATTGACGATAATGATGATAATAAGTTACAGCAGGATAACACACTCTACAAGACAAATCTGGATATGAAGTTTGTATAACTGATACTGCAAGAGATGAAGGATGTTGTGTCTTGTGGGCTTCAATTTGTTGTAGATGAATTTGGTATGCTCAGTGTATAAAGAAAAAAATAAAATAAAATAAAATATATTCAAACCAGTTTGGAATTACTTACACCTATACTTTGGTTCGTGGGTAATTCGCTTGGTTAAGGTTTACAGTAAGTTGTGAGCTATTGGGTCCTTACGCCTACATGTTTGGCTCGTGGGGTATCCGTTCCGATGAGATCTAACCTCGGGGTTACAGTAAGCTGCGAGCTCTGGTTGCTACGAAAGCAAAGGCTTCAAGTGGCCCTTCTATTAAATATCTTTCAATTTAATAGGACTTTCTGGTTGCTATGAAAGCAGAGGCTTCAAGTGTGCCCTTCTGTTAAATCTCTTTCAATTTAACAGGACTTCCAAGTGCACTATTACTTCTTTAGTAATAGGCGTCTATAAATAAAGAATCCATAGAGAAAGAGGAGGGAGGAGAGATACTGGTGGAGACTTTTTAGCTTTCTGCCAGGAGGCACCAAAATGTTACAAGTGAACTATAGCCTTCTTTAAAATATAGTACTTGCAACACAGCACAAGGTGACAGGGATCTATGTAGAGTCAGCGGTGTAGAAGTGGAATATTACTTCACTAGAGCGATTCGGTATAGTTTCGGTAAGAACAAAATATATGTTTATTAAGATATATTTATTTATAGTACAATATCAAGATAATAGGCTATCCTAAGGTTTCTATGTCTAAGAATCCTTTTAACTTAAAGATTGTAGAAAACAAATCCTAAAGCACTAGGAAGGAGAAAAAGCTAGAGTTTATATAGCTTTTACAACACATATCAAAGAATATAAAATATAAGAAACAATAATAATAAATAATAATAAATAAATAAGAAACAATAAGAAGTATTAAGAAACATAACAAAACATTAAGAAACATAAAGAAACATTAAAAAACAATAAGAAACATTAAAAAATATAAAGAAACATTAAGAAACAATAAGAAACATTAAGAAATATATTAAGAGTATGGATTTACAAGACTTGTAAATCCATTCCGATTTATTGTTTATCAATTCTTTGCTTATCTTTGTTTATCAATTGCCGGTCACCCATTCATTCGTTCATCATGTATTGTAGCTCGTTTTGATCGTCAGAACCTTTCGGATCTTCTGGGGTTAAAATATCTTGTACGTTTCTAGACGTTTAACACGTTCTATAACAATACGAAATAGAACGAGCAATGAAGCTATTTGAAGTTGGTAGGAAGGTCGAAAAGTAAATTTAGTGTTAAGGCAAAGCTTTACAGTAGAGATATACAAATGTTGTATTTGTTATATAATTTTTATCAGCCAAACACAGGTTATAATAGTGCCTTCAGGGTTTTAGATTTCTTCTCATGTTTTTTCTTTTTCGCAATCAGTGTTTCTTTTTTCTTTTCTGTTTTTTTTTTTTTTCTGGTCGTTTTTATTACTCCTTGTTGAAAATTTCTCCCTTTTGTCTCGTGCCTCTTGAGAAAAAGGAAGAATTAAAAGGGAAAAAAGAGATCCTGATGTGGTGTACAACAACCTGTCAAATGATTGAGGGGGGTATCTTTTGTCGATACAAAATTTGAAACAAGTTTCAGATCTTGCTATAAGACTAATAGTTGTTATAGCAAGTTGCATTGGGCAGTACTCTGTATGCTTGGTGAGTTTCTATTAGAATAGAGTGATAGACTATCTTGATGATTACTTAATATGTAATAATTGAATAGTAGTTTATAAAATAAATAGAAGCAGGATTACTTAATATATAAAAAAAGAAGAACAAACTAAACTAAACAAGTAAGAAAAAACAAACAAAAGTAAAAAAAAAGAGAAAAGAAAAAGAAAATCGCAAAAAAAAGCGATCATGATAATACTATTTTTGGCTGTGCCAGGCTATATAAATTATATAAGTTGTATAAAAAATAAAATCTACTCTAATACTATATATAACTAGAAAAATAGAAACTATTTAAAGTCCAAAGGATCAATTTTTTTATATTATACCTGATCTAGCCAATAAGTATTAGTTTTCTATTGTTTTAATTGTTTTTATATTATATCTAATCTATCCAATCAGAATTTAAAATTTGTTAATACACAAACATCAGGTACACTATTGCTCTGTCTGTAATATCTTTCAGACAATAAGAAAAAAGGAAGAAAAAAAATCATCTAACAACTAGAAGTTTCTACATATGATTTTCTGATCTCTTATAGTCTATTATCAATTATTTGAGAAGCAGTACCCAAATAAACTTATAACAGGTCCCATTTCATTAGACACATCTAATTTGAAAGAAGTAAACACTGCTAATCTTTTGAAGAGAGTATGCCAGTTTTTTTACTTTTTGGCCAAACCTTTTAAAAAAATTCTAAAATAGCAGAAATATGAGAAGAGTCAATAGAAAAGGGACAAATTATTTTTAATAAAATTTTTTTAATTTTTAAATTAAAATATCTCAATAACTATTTAATCAAATTTGTTAAAAATTTTTTTATTTTAATCTTGAAATTATATAGAATTAAATTAAAAAGGTTTTTATTAAATTTGATAAAATAATTACCAAGGTATTTAAGTTTAAAGTCAAGAAAACTTTTACTTAGAAAAAATTTGTCCCTTTTCTATTGACTTACCCCCATATAGTAAAAGGTCTTTGTTTGCAAGTACTTTTAAAATTTCAAAACGTGTGTTGAAATCCAAAACTTCTATTATATCTTTTGTATTTTTCTTTGAAGTAATAGTCTTCAAGCTTCATTAATAAAGTAATAGTGAAGATATATTTGCTTTTTTCTTCATCAAAATTTTTTATACAAGGGCACCTCTTGCTAGTTATTTTGCATAATAAAGCTCTTGGGCTTGCATGCCGAATGTTCTTTTTAGAGAAGTCTCTTAAAAAAGCAGTTGGCCTCTAGACAAACCACACTATAAAGCCACATCTTTTTAACAAAAGTTGAGTTTTCTATTAGTTAAATTTTGGTATAAGTAATTGTTAAGAAGAGTTTATTAAAACAATATATATAACTATTAACATCAATTTAAAAACCTATTATAATTTTTTAAGTTTGTATTTTTTTTTAAAAATTTAGTGTTTAAAAATTTGAGTTTATTGAAGCTTTTAAATATATTATATATAATTACTTAACCTTATACAAACTGTATTCATAATAAAAGTATAACTAGCTATTGTGCTTTTGGTATTATCTATACTAAATACTTGTATCTAGTATTATATATTAAACATGTCTATACTATGTTTTTGTTTAAGTGTTTAAATTGTTTAAAAATATTCAAGCCTATATTCAAAAATTAAATAATTAATAAATTAATTTTTTTTTTTTTAAGCAATCCTGTCTTTATTTATAAAATTAACTATATTGTATAATGCTTATATAATTATATTATATCTATAGTAAAAAAGTTCTAATCTAATAAAAACTTACCAAGTATAATACTTAATACAATCTACTATAATAACTATTAGTCTCTTTTAGGATTCAAAACTTGTTTCAAATTTTGTATTATACAAAGAATATCTATTTAATCATTGCCAGGTTGTTTGTTGTATACTATATTAAAATTTTTTTTTTTAATTTTTTTTATCTTAAAAGGCATGAGACAAAAAGATAAAATTTCAAAAGTAAAGATTATAAATATAATTAAAAGTCAATAAATTAATTTAAATATATATATATAATTACTATATATATATATTGTTGTAAACAGGTTTTTATAATATAAAGTAGTTTAGCATAGTAGCATGACTTTTACTAAAACGCACCTATGGTGAAAATCACCATAGGTAAAATCCACCTATGGTGAAAAAGCACCATAGGTGAATTTCACCTATAGTGCAATAATCACTTATTGCTATATATATAAATTTCACTTAATTTGTATATACATACATTTGTCTAAATCTATATATACATATGTAGTGTGCATACCCTTGTCAATAAATCGCAAATTCATAAACAGTATTAGGTACTATATGCACTACTAAACTGTATTATACAGTTTATATCAAACAGGTATATATTTATTTATCACTCACACCAAAGTCTATATAAATATTTAGTATTCTTAAGGCAGACAATCTGAAAAGAATTTTATCTAATAGCCCGCCTAACTCTAAAACAAAAAGAAGAACTATATCAGTGCTCGCTCTAATTCTAACTTTTAAAAAACAACACTAGAAATGAGACACATATACATGCCTTGTTTAATACATGTAGTCAAATGCATATAGTATATTAATTTAAGTAAATCCAATAAACCCAATTGCAGTATTAAAAAATTCGGTATAATATTAATTTAATTTAATTTTTTTTTCTTACAAGAGATACAAACAGAAATAAATAAACAAAACACAAAGTTTCATAGAATCATACACTTTATCACTTACATTCCAGTATCTATCTATGCTTATAAATATGGACAATAAAACATACAATTGTTAAAGCTCTGTAGGTATTAGATAGAACTATTATAATATAGTATATAGTGCACTATTTTGTAATAATCCTACCCAGCACCTAATAAAACATATGGTAGTATAACAAAGCATATTATGAATTGCAATCGCTAATACATACAATCATCAGCAAACATAAAATATTGATACACACAAAGATATATACAAACTAACACGCAAATACTATATGCAAATATAATTATCACATCATACTATTACTGATTTGGGAAATAAGATCTATGATGACCGTCTTGGCCACAATTTTCGCATATATATACATGTTTTTTCTTGTCTAAAGATCCATTAATTAAGGTGTATAAAAGAATTTAAAGCACTAACATAATAAGTACCTTGAGTAATTGTTTGCACCATGTCCTTATTATTGTTAATTGTCATACTAGTACTTGTTCCTAATATTATTGCTATAATTTAAAAAAAGTCAATAATAAAGTCAATAAATATATGCAATTACCTTGTTCTTGTCCTTGAATGTCTTGAACGTGTTCATACATTATTTGACCTTGTTCTTCAGAACCTTCAACACCTTCAGTACTGTCTATATTGATTAATACATTATTAAGGTTGAAATTAGCCGTCCTTACTAAATCCTCATTTTGCTGCATATTAGTTGTTTTCTTTGACACTTTTTTTTGTGCACCATCATTGAATGCTGCTATACGTTTTTGACGTTTTTGACCCTTTGTTCATGGGTTTAGAGGATTGCTAATTGTATCATAATTATATTCATCATCTGATTGCAAAACATGCCTTTTTTGTTCTGCTAGTTGCCTTTCCATTTTACTAATATATTGCTGATATAATTCATAAAGCTCTTTAGTACGCCCAGTTTGGATTGCTAAATTCAAAGTTCTTTTCATTAGACCAAAACTCTTTCCATAAAGAGCTCAAGTTTTCATATGATGTTGTATCCTGGGTGTAAAAACATATTGGCCACGGATTAAATCAATTAAAGAAAAGTCAACTTGGATATTATGTTCAAATACATCAAATTTCTCTTCGCTTCGAATTGAAATTGCATTATCATTAATCATTTTTTTGCATGGCTTGATCATTAAACCAACGTTTTGCCAGAATTCCAATATGAAATTGTGCTATTTCACTTTCCAATAAAACAGCAAAAAAGTGACGACAAATAATGCCACAGTTCACAAGTGTCAAACATGTACACAAATAGTTTGTATTGCCAAAGAGAACAACAAAATGACGTCTTTGTTGGTCAATATATGATACTATCCATAGTTCTTTAATATCGCTAATACCATCAATGAGTTCTGTTAATTCGATAAGTGCTTCATTATACAAATCTTTGCTAAACATGCCCTTAGGTGTATTCTAAATAAATAAATAAAAAAATATATAAAAATAACTTAAATAACAACCCTAATGAGTCAAATCTGTTAGTTTTGGTTAGAAAATTCGATAAAATTTTATCGAATTTTCTAACCAAAACTAACAGGTTTAACTCATTAGGAGACGACTTAAAGATAACAATCAAGCTCATGACTACTTTTAGTATACCAGTTCATTAACATTTTCAATATAAGCTTGTTGTTGTAACTCAACCTCCAAGTTAGTATAATAAGCTTGATAATGAGAGCATTGATCCATTTGATTCCGTTGTAGCTTTTGTATCGCTGATGTAAGAAATTTGGTGCAAGCTTTATTAATCGCTATAAAATAGTAATTCTGGTATGATGCATTCATAACATGTAGTAACTCTCCATTAGTTTCATTAAATCTCACAAATTGTGACTCCCTTGCCAAATGCTGCTTTATTATGCTTACTACTTCCATTAGTGAGATTGTTCTATTTAACGATTTCTTCAAAATCACATTATATACTTCAACTCTTTGAGTTGATTGTATACCACAATTGAAAGACCAATGTGTGAAAGCTAGAACCTATGCTTCACGATGAGGATAAAGCTGATGCCTTAAATAAGATTGTACTTCAGGAAATAAATCCAAAACCTGTTGCCACTTTTTCTCAAAAATGGCTTTAGTGGTGCTATTGCGTGCTTGACAGAAACTTGAAAAAAAATTTCTAAACTTTTCTTTACCAAACTTAGAGAGAAAATGTTTTTCAAGATTCTTTCATATATAAAACAAACAGAAGTGATGCTTTGTGCTATGCCATATATTTTTAATAGCACCAGTAATTGCTGGATCCGCATCCGTCTAAACAACTTTAGGTTGCAACCCTCCTTATAATAAAAAAAAAAAAATTTAAATTAAAGCAGTATGAGCTACAACAGATATACTAAATAAAAAAATAAACCAACAACTTTAGCATTAAGTAGCCCTTGCAAGATCTACTCAAATGTTATTTTTTGCTCGTCCATAATTAAGGCCGTTGCAACGAGTCGTGATATATTATAATTATCTATACAGACAACCACACACATTATTATATTGAATTTATTCGTTTTACATGTGGTGTCAAGCAAAATTACATCATGAAAACGACCCCAAATATCAATTTGTTTAGGGTGCAACCACATAAGCCCTACAAGATGATTATCGCTTTCCTCAAATCTTGCATCAATGTACCAACCAGGCATCTCTTGCTTTTGGCACATTAGTTTTTTGTAAGTAGCACCTGTATCACTCAATTTTTCTTTCTCTGATTTAATTGTTTGAACAATATTTTTAATGCTACGTGCATAGATGTATTGATCTGGATATTTTTTTGTTAACACATTAATAATTGCTCCAGTACGTACACCACTAGCAGAAAGAAGTTCTATGTCTTTTCGCATTTCTGATATTAGGCGACGATATTGAGGTGTAGTCATTTGGATATTATTACTCATTTGATATAAATGCTCACCAATTATACCCGAGATATGTACTTGATTGTTGCTTTTCTATCTCTGAAAATTAATATGATAATCACAATCACTATTCTCATGTGTTTTATTTCTTTCTTCTAAAGTATGTGCCTTTTTCTTTGCTTCATAGTAACGACCTTTGAAACAATAATAAACACGATGTCTTGGTATTCCATCACTTTTATCTAATTCACTTTTTACCAAAGAAAAAGCAAAGCCTTGCCCACGACTATGTTTGTCAAGCCAACTTTAATTAATTAATATCTATTCTACATATGAATAAAAAACAAACCCAAAATAAAACAGCATTCGACTTTACTTACTTTTCAATATCTTTCCAATTAGTGAAGCTTTGCCCTTTACTTAGGGGATATAACCCCTCTTCTGAATCAGTTAAATCAGCTTCAGCTTCAGCTTCTACTAAACTATTACTTTCTTCAGAACAAAGTTGCCCATAAGAGTCCAGAATTTCATCAAATATATTCATCTCATTGTTGCTAGCAAAACACAGATCTGCTTCATCGAATTCATCTTCACTTCCTATTTTAAAATCTACAATGAATTTTAGTCAGGTACTATTAATATGGTTAAGTGGTTATATGAAATGAAATACTGTCGGCCCTCCCCAAACCGATCCTGTCAAAACCGATATCCTGCCATAATCGGTTAAAAATCGATCCACCGGGTCTGCTCCCTAATTCATACCCGATAACCTGCCATTCCTGATATCCGATAGGCCAGATATATAAGTTCCTGATTTGTTGGATCTGATCACATGATCGTTGGCCAATTAAAATCGCGAATTTTAATGTAATAGACTCAAGCGATTACGACGTACGTATGTATGTACGTACGTACAAAAAAGAGAACAACGTATATGGTTCTGATTATGGCTTTTTCATATTACAGAAGATTCGCTAATGTAATTTTATTTTATTTTTACAGATAACTCTCTTTAAGTGCATTTCATTAGAACTTAGAGGGGCTGCACTTAGAGAGTGTTGAATATAGAGTGCGATTTTATTTATGACAAAATTTCTCAAAGAATCTGTCCTCCTATGTAAGTTATTTTAGTAAAAAAAAAAAAAAAATTTCAAGTTTTGAAGTATTGCTCCAATTTATTTTGGACTTGCTTACCAGCTTTTTCTTTTTAAACTTCCTCACGAATACAGGACTATAGCTTGCATAATGATTTCATTGTTTCTCCACCATCATCAATCCTTTCATCAACAATTCTTAAAGCACTACGTAAAATATTCAATTGTTCCTCCCCAGTTAGGGGTGGCACAACAAATTCATCTTCGATCTGTTCAATTTCTGTAGCGGTGTAAATCAGATCTTCATTGGTAAACTGATGGTGTACTTCTTGTTCTTCTTTAAGGTTTAGCAAGTCTTCAATTAGTATTGGATTACGAACATGCAATATATTTATTTGCTGTTGGAGTTCCTTAACTGCTAGTTCATTATTTGGATCAAAAAATGAGGTTTCTTCCACATCATCAATACTTTCATCATCAATACCTTCTTCAGCAATAGGAGGGACAATAGGTATACCATTTTCATCGCGAGGGGATACAACTTTCATGTGAAACCAATACCTTTTAATCATTTCAGCTGATACTTTACTCTAGGCAATCTTAGTCCATTTCATAGCCTATAATTAGTGGTACTGTATAAGTTAGTGAAAATTTTTAATTAATTAATCGCGACTTGAGGCTAACTATATTTTTTTTTTTGATTTATCAAAAGGGTTTAAAAATTGCTGTGGCTAATGCAGAAAAAGGTATCTAAAATATAAATCCTATTTAAACCCATTTGTATTTTTTTTTTATTTATTATTATTTTTTTTTAACAATTTAAATTTTATATTAAATAATAGGTTTAATTTTTGACTTTAGTTATAACAAATTTTAGACCCATTAGTTTTTAACTTTATCTGCAATTGATTGACTTTATATATATCTTTCTCCTCGGCTTCATCACGATCAATTGCATATTGAAGCTGAATATGACGATGATGCCGGCATCCATGGGTTGAATTTTTGATGTCGTATATGGAGGCAACAAGAGCACTTTTACATTAGTAAGGGTGATAGCACTAGTAACATGCGAGGGGCACCATCAAGGATAAGTAAAACATGATGATTGGATCGTTTTATTTCTTGATCAAATTTTTGTATCCATTCTTGAAAAAACATGGCAGTCATCCATGCTTTTTTATTATTACGGTAATAGAATCAAAGTTCTTCACCTGTTTTTTTTTTAAAACATCTAGATCTTGTAGCATGTCCAATAATGAAGAGTTCAAGTTTGTGGGTGCCATCTGCGTTGGCCATAAATGCAATTGTGATTCTTGTGCAATTTTTTTTTGACCCTTCAATCTGTCGAGATGCAATTGTGTGATCGGGGCCATAGAATAAAATAGACCTGTCTCGTCCATATTGTAGATATCATGAAGGGGATATTGATTAGTGGTATTAATAATATTAGGAAGGTTTAGAATGATGGCAGCAACATTAGCAGAACCACTCTCGCCATGCAGCTTAAAATGGTGAAAATTATGCCTTTCTTGAAAAGCCTACAACTATCCATTTGAAAATTCAGGCTGATCATTTTCAGGAATATTCATCAGGTCTGATAATCGCTTGCCCTTAGCTTTAATCATGTCACCATTTAAACATATAGCCTGATGTTCACACTGCAGTACCCAGTTCGCCAAAGCAGTATCTAGTTCGGGAGAACGTAATGACACGACGTTTTTTAACCCCAAGGTTACTTGAAGACATTTTACTGAACTCATCTTTCCTTTTTAAAATATCAGAGATTGTACTTTGGCCAGGGGCTTTTACTAGATTGAACTTATTTTTAGCCCACTCAGCAAGTTCCTTCTGAGTAATTGTTGGATTTTTTAGGTAATGATCACATATCATTTTCCTTTGGTCATTACGCAAATTCCCAGCTAAAATAACTTTATCTTTTTTTTTCCCATAATAATGGCGAAATAAATAGGTTGTATAATTTTGTTATTTTAGAATGTTTTTTATTTTTTGAAATACTGAGCTTAATATTATAGAAG